TATTTGTGAAAACAGAAAATAAAGCATCTACAATCAGAATACAAATAATCTACAATTTATCTACAATTTCTGCAATATGTCGTCTTCTTCTTCTTCTTCTTCTTCTTCTTCTTCTTCTTCTTCTTCTTCTTCTTCTTCTTCTTCTTCTTCTTCTTCTTCGAGTTTCAATCTAAAATTCAGTCAAAACCTAGTCTAATCTTCACCAAAACCCCTCAAAATTGAGATATAAACTCCAAACCATATTCCCGATTATTTTCACCAACACCCAATCCAAACAAATAATGATTTTTTAAAACCCAAATTTGAATTCAAAGCTTTCAAGCTTTTTAATGACTGTCAATGGTGGAATTGCTGCTCTCTTTTCATTTGCTTTGTATTACTGAAATTTGCGATTGAGAAATAGAGAGAGATGTAGAGAGTTTCTCGAAACAGAGTATATCGCAAAAATATAGTATGAAAAATCTTGTTCTGCGTTGTGGAAGATCAGAGTGAAGCCGACGATAATTATGGAATGTGCGTGATTTGCGTTGGGGAAGANAGAGAATTTCTGGAAACAGAGTGTATCGCAAAAACAGAGTACGGAAAATCTTGTTCTGCGTTGTGGAAGATCAGAGTGAAGCCGACGATAATTATGGAATGTGCGTGATTTGCGTTGGGGAAGATCTGAAAAATATTTAATTCCTCTTTTTTAGCGCGCAAAATAAGGAATCATAAAGCTACAGTGATTCCTTATTTAATGCATTGTATATATTAGGTAGAAATACTATTAACATGAAGGGTAATAAGCAAACTATAAACATATTTGGTAATATAGTTTCATATATGGTATATATACGAAAAAGCCTCTTTATTTATCACTCAATGAGGTGATTATATCATAAAGCTATGGGTGCCAAAGTTGGCCCAAAATTATGTAACCCACCTAGCCCTCACAATATTTCACTGGTTGGGCATGATATATTTTCCTGATGGGCTGATTGAGAATAACTCAATCTGACGTAAAAATAGCACGGACTAGTTAGTTTTCGGACTGGTCATTCAAAAATATCCAGCATTTGCAAAGTCACTGAAAAATAGTCACTATTTTGCTGCAACACGGAAAGTTCCAGCATAATATACTAGAGATCGGTGCACCTGTGTATGAACTTCCAGCATATTCACCTGGAACTCCAACACGCGGAAAGTTCCAATATAATATACTGGAGATTGGCGCACCGATGCTCCAATCTCCAGTATATTATGCTGGACCGGTATATTATACTGGAACTTCAGCATATTATACACTAGTTCCAATATACTTATGATCGAACTCCAGTATAATATACTGGAATTAATTCCAGCATATTATACTCAGGGGCGTACGCAGGATTTTTTGCAAGCGGTGTCGATGCTAAAGAGACTACCAACAACAACAACCCAGTGNTATATATATATATATATATATATATATATATATATATATATATATATATATATATATATATCGCTTTAGCTCACACAACCAAGCCTTAGCCTATTGGTTTAGCTAATTCTTTTCATCTATGGAGAGATCAGGAGTACGATCCCATAGGACGTCCATTTTTAGAAACAAAAAGAGCTCTAAAATTCATTAAAAATTTAGAGCATATTGGGATCGAACCCTTGATCTCAAACATGATAGTCAGTCGCTTAACCGTTAGGCTACGGGTCAAGATTAACCTTTAGGCTACGGATAAAGAATTTTTAAGCGGTGTCATTCCTGTTTATATGCAGTAATTTGCGTATTAAAATTTTCTGACGAAGCGGTGTCGGATGACACCACTTAATATAAAGTGCATCCGCCCCTGATTATACTGAGTATTTTTTTGGATTTTGAATAGTGTTTTTATTCAGATTTATCTTTACATGAAAAGTGACTAAATTTCTATTACTTTTGAAATTGTGGCTATTTTTGAATGACCACTTGTAAATATGGCAATTTTTTAAATTTCTCCCCAATCTGACTGGTGAAAAAGGGAGCCCTAATTGAACCGTGACGCTTTGCATCTCTCAGCGCTTGATCCCGATTAATTCTTCTTTGGTTGTTGGGTTTTTGACTCTTCAAATAATCTGAGTGCTCATTGAGTCAGCTCTAATACATTAACCTTGCTGGCACTTGATGAAATTTTAATTTCATAATCAAGTGATCTGATATGAATAATCTGGGTAATTCAGGATGATGAATTATCATATCAAGCTAACAAGTAAACAAACTATGACCACAATGATATGAATATATACATTAGTTATCATACCGAAAAAGAAAAAACCTTTTGAAATTTTCTTTACTTGTTACATATTCTACATGATGAAAAGTATTACTACTATATGGCATGGAGTGCATATTTTATAAGTGTATAGTTCTTTTTTTCTTTTCTTACTAATTACTATCTTTCTTTTGTTTTTTATATATTTATACGACAATCGTGATATTTCACAATTGCTAAACAGTTACACTCCAATTTAACAGTGAATTAATCGTATAGCCTGACCCTAAATGATACATAGAATAAACGAACAAGATAAATTAGGATAATTTATTTGTCCTGAATTCATTATACTGGATAATGGAACAATTGTTAAGAACCAGACCACTCAGGTTCTTAACAAACTAGTAAAACAAATAATTTGAGAGGTTTTAGTGAAAGAATTGAATTTATGTTGTTGATTTAAATAATACGGTTTTGTGTCCATTGATGTCTCTAGAAAGAAAGGATAGAAGTTGGGACAAGTCGACAATTGACAGCCCAAAAAGGCTAGTTCAATTTCAAATGCATGAGTCAATTCTTTATTATCTGACCTCATGATCTTAGCAACATTAACGACTTCATGATTCTTGATTTTCACAGTTTCTTAATAGTAATTAAACTGGCCAATATTGAAAGTTTAGTTTCATAACATTTGATCATGATTAGATATTTTTCTTATATGTAAAATTAAAGGTGACTTCCTTCTACTTGAATTTGCTTTCTTTTCCTATTTGTGAGAACCACTGGATTGTTTTGCTTTTGTATACAACTGAATATTTTTTTATTATAGTATAAAATATTAATATGATATGCAGTTAAATTGGGTTGAACTATTGTAAATGGGCACAGCACATGAGCTGATCAATAAAAAAGGATAGTTTCAAAACCAAAGCATCTTAAGTTTCAATAGTTTAATGCAACAAGAACAATAGAGCCAGAGGGGTAAGAGGGCCAAGATTTGTCCTAGTTCATGAACACAAATATTCTGTCCAGTGAAGGGGAAACAATCTTGTTTTCGAACTTGTATAGATTATAATTTTCCCAAAATCCTTTACTTCGTTTGTATATAATTTGATCATTGGTGAAAAATATGATTTTTGTGGCACGTGGCTGCATGTTTATGTTAAGAAAGAGTTGCTTCTGAGCCACTCGTTAATGTCATTCTGGGTATTGAAACTTTGGAATTAAAATTTTTGAGTCGTCATATGTTGAAATTGCAGGGAGGAGGAATGTACTCTGATAGTACGTACTCAGAAAGGTTAGGTTGAGGAGGGAATTATGCAACGTAGTAGTACAACAAGAAAAGAAAAGGAGAAGAGAATATCCTTGATTAAGTGATAAAAATGTACGTTACAAACACATATCATGCATCTATTGATTTGATGTAAACACTTTATATGTCGTACTAGTTTTTACCATGAGACAACTTTAAGGTTGAAGTCTTTCCTCTTTGAACATATATTATATAAACTTAAGCAATTATTCTAATCTTGTACATATAATGTAATTTTTTGGGAAGGAAATTCAGACAGAACCCTGTTGCGTCTCCTAGCTCGGCCCTGTATACAACTTGAATGACCTAAAACGGGGTAGAACTTCAAGTAGCACGAAACAGAATACTGAACCGATGGGCTCTACAAGGAACGGAAATAAGGATATGGACTTAGTTTTGACACGTTTAGCGCGATGCTTTTCCCAAATTTGGTCCATTACGAGTGTGACTTATTCCAACCACAAATGTTGCAGAAAGATGTATAAATGCAAGTCTATCCAAGTCACTGACTGTTTAACAGTCTAAACAAAATTGATATTTCCTTGTATTTATTTTATGTTACATTTTGTGCTAGCTTTTTCTAATTAATTATAATATTTTTTTCTGTAATGGTAACCAAAGAGTAGAGAATGTTCAATGCAAGTTTTGATCTATGGATATTGAACGCAAGAGACAGTTTCTCCACACATAGATTTCCGTAGGCCAAAGGGATAAAATTTCAGAAGCATCAGAAATTCTCCTATCCATTGCTGTACATAGATCTAAAACAGCATATATATGTTTGGTACCTATCTACAATTCTAAAATTGTAGAACTGGTAATATTAATTTTTTGCTAGAACTTAAGTTGAAAGCCTTTCTTTTAGTGTTCTTTTCTCATTAAAGAAAGAATAAAGCCATTCCTGCACCGTACGTGCCCTGCCCATGACCATTTTTTTTGGGTTCCCGTCCGATATTGGGTGAAATTAAAAAATAGTACAAATTTTCAAGTGGTAATTGAAAAATAACTAACAGTATCAAAACTAATCAAAATTTTGTCACTTTTTATGTAAAGATAAATCTGAATGAAAACACTGTTCAAAATCCGGAAAACATTCCAGCATAATATGCTAGAGTTCGAATTTTTTACATGTGAACTTCCGACATAATATATTGGAGTTCCATCATAATATATTGGAGTTCCAACATAATATGCTGGTAGTTCATGCACATGTGCTCCAATCTCCAGTATATTATGCTAGAACTTTCCTTGTGGTGGAGTTCCAACATAATATGCTGGAAGTTCATACACGGATGCACCAATCTCCAGTATATTATGCTGGAATTTTCCGTGTTGCAGCAAAATAGTGACTATTTCTCAATGACTTTGCAAACGTCGGCTATTTTTTAATTACCAGTCCGAAAACTAGCTAGCCCGTGCTATTTTCACTCCGATATTTGGTATTTGGTACAAGCATTTGGCCCGATTAAATTTGGATCCACTTTGGGAAGTCCCATATTTGGGGTACAACAATCCCTCACAAAGACGACTCCATATTCAGACTTGAACCCCAAACTTATGGTTAAAGATAAATGAGTACTTACCACTCAACTAGCACAGCCCTTATTGGTGCACGTTACCATCCTAACACTCAGCTGCAGTGACATTCATTGATTCTTATAGTTGTATCAGAAGAAAATGAAAAAAGGAACAAGGAAGAGATGTCTCAAGTGCTGCAGTACAAGATTTGGATACTAAATTAGTGGATTTAACCAAAAGTAAAAGGATAAAAAAGGGAATAACTTAACCTAGTACTCCTTGAGAAGTAAGAATTACTAAAATCTTATTGAGTAAGAGAAGATGCATTGCCAGTGGATACAGAGGAAGTGTTATTCTTATGATTATGCATCCATACTTTAAACACCTTTCTACTTACCCCTACCTCTCTGCAAAATCTTTCAGTTTCATTTTCTTGATCTTTCCTTTGCAGCGTCCATCCTAATTTCTCCGCAAATGCCAGCATTTTCTCTTTCTGATCCGTCGTAAACTTCGTCCTAAATCGTTTCTTCCCGCTCCTCGGTGACTCCTCAGCTGTCAGGGCGGCGCTCATCCTCCCTCCACCGTAGTCAGTCAACTCTGCTGCCACGATTTCTCGGTCGCGGCTGCTATTGTTGCTGTAACTAGCACCGTACATAACTTTACGGTGGAAGTTACGATGACAACCACAGGCAGCGCAGTGTAAGCTTGCGCTGCGTGGGGAAGTATTGTTGTTGTTATTGTCGTCAAGAGTGAATTCTCCGCAGCCATCAGTGGCATAACTTCCAAGGCTGGCTGCATGGTTCCTTAAACACTCTCTGTAAATATTGTCATTTGCTTTGTCTCCTTGCATTATTCTCTCTCTCCTTATTCTCCCTCTCTTGCCTCTCTACTGTTGTTGCCACTTAATGATGATAAGCTTTATATGCACATTGCATTCCCTGGTTTTTAATGACAGCATTTTACACAAATAGCCAACCGGATTTATCTATTTTTCCTATTCAATATATATATATATATATATATATATATATATATATATATATATATATATATATATTACGGTTATTTTTATTACAAGTGATTGGGTGAGCAACTCATGTTTAGGTTAATTTTTCTATAACACTGTACATTTTTTCTTTTGCATAGTCCCTCGTACACGATCTATGTTTTTTTTTGTTTTATAAGAATTAAAAAAGTAACTCCATCTTTCTTTTTTCACCCCACGCCAAGTATAAACAATAGCAATTCATGACTTACATATACACTCTTATTCTTGACATACCATATATAGGAAAATTAAGCTGTCTTTGACTGGACTAAAACCGCTCTTGTCAACTTCATTTATTTTACAGTTTTTACTCCTAAAGCGAAAACAGGAACACGTTTTTACTTCCTCAACATTTTAATATGAGGACAATATTAGTCTTCCTCTACTTTATGTGGTAATAATTGATTTGGCCTCAATTCTAAATGAAAGAACGTTTCTTTATCTTAGTTAAAGTAGGATGTGACGATGGGTATGTGTCTGATATGACTGTAAAAATAATTTTTCGTAAAAGAATATTTCTTGAAAATTATTTGCCACTATTTGACCACCTCAAATTGAGAATATTTTCTTAATAAATAGTATAAATTAGATGAAGGTTATAATTTATGTCATATATGAGCGTAAATCATTTTCTTCCAACCATCTCAACTCTTACTGCATATTACTTACTCCAATAAACATGTAAACATTGTCGTTAGTTTTTAAATGCTCAATACTATCATTTAAACACAATCATCTACTCTTTCTCTTATCTTCTGGGTTTATCATATGTCAAATTCTTCCATAACCAAACATTTTCTTCTGGGTATATTTTCTTATGCTTAGTTCTCTTTTATTATCTCGTGTTTCTATTTCTCATTCTTATTCCTATTTTTGTTTTTTTCGCTTTGGTAGATCTATTATCGTGTTGTTGTTTACTGCTTATTGCTATTGGTGTTGCTTTTTTTTTTTTTCCATCTTTCCTTGGGCTGAGGTTTTATCGAAAACAACCTCTCTACCCTCACAAGTTAAGGTCTATCTATACTCTACTCTCCCGAGACCTCACTTATAGAATTACACTGAGTTTATTGTTGTTCTCCCGCAGACGTTTTTACTTATCTATAAAATCTATAAAAACCATTTGTCCAAAGAGAAACGAAATAAATTCATGAACTTAAAAATGATTCAAAATATAGCAAAGATTATCTTGAATTAACAAATATATTAAGTAGTCAAGGCATAGGTATTCTGACATTAGAGTAAGGCCTCATGTTTAAGAGACAGGAAGTAGTTAGGTGATCTGTAAAACATTTATGTGAATATTCATGTAGTTCTTGTCCAAGACAAGTCGACCATTGACAGCACAAGAAAGTATTCTTAGTTCTTCAGGAACCAACGTGATTATGTGAAACAAAATCTTCAGAATATCAATTCAATAATATCAGAAAAGGATAATTCAATTTCAATGCATGAGTCAGTTCTTCATTGTCGGACCTAATCTTAGAAATGTTAACGACTTCATTATTCTTTCTTTAAAGAAGCTATGCCACATCCTATTAAATTTCATGGACCATTAAAATAGTTTAATTAGTCACAGTTTCTTCATACTAATTAAACTGACTAATATAGAATTTCTACTTTAATATCAATATATCATGATTAGCATTTCTTCATCTCTTGTATCATTTTATTTGTGGCTTTCTCATTTCAACCATTGGATGATTTTAATTTGGCAATGATCTCAACTGAATAATTTTGGATTATAAAAATCGTAATATGACATGCAGTTAAAATGGGTTGAACTTATTATGAATGGGCCCTTGTAATTAGGCACATCACATGAGCTGGTCAAAACAAAGGGATAGTTGCAAAATCAATGCATCTTGAGTGATTGTAATTAATTTAATGCTACAAGAACAATAGAGCCAGAGGGGTAAGAGGGTCAAGATTTGTCCTAGTTCATGAACACAAATATTCTGTCCAATGGACATGTCTAAGGCTGACTTCACTCATATGGGGAAAAACAATCTTGTTAATTTTTTCAATCTTTTTATACTAAAATGTAAATTTTCCTAAGGTTAAAGTATGGAATTAATAATCCTATTCTCATGACCTTGTGGGGTATAAGTATTAATTGTACAACATTAACTTTGAGTAGTTGTGGAAGGGACCCGTGAACAGTATGGGATAATCTCAATAATGCACTCTTCGGGAATATGCAGAGAAATAATGATGGAGAGGACCAGCCAGTCCTTTTTGTACTTTTGGCCACTTTTATGAGAAATCAGAATTCAGAATGGAGAACGTATTTGGGGTGTGGCATTAAGCATTTATATATACTAACATATAGTATATACAAAGAAGTGCATTTTGCTGGTCAAAAATACAATTAGTCGTAGTTGATATGACAAAAAGGACTTCCTAATATAATGATCGACTTATAGGGGGGTTATGGGCACTTGACTATTGGAAAAATGTTGACAATCCAACATATAATAATGCGTTGAGTGGAGTAATTAAGACAATTTAGAACCATTACATATCAAACGAGTGGAAGAAGGAAAATACAACAGATGGGTGGGCTCAATTTCTAAATACGAAAACACAAGCGTTACGACGAGTCTACCACCCAATCAACTCTGATTGAACACATTAAATAGAGTTAGAGACTGACTTGCAATCAAAGCGTAGAGCGATGGAATGTATAACTGTATGTCACTTCGATGTTAGTAAAGACAAAAGTTCAAGCAAACCTTTTCTTTTTTTCCCGATAAAGAAGAATTAATCTAAATAGTCTACCACTCAACTGCTTAAACTAAAAGTAATCATAATATAAGAATAATTCATATATAATATATGTATAATTGTATATAATCAATATATAATTTATGTATACCGGCTAAAAAAAGTATATAATAAATCTATCCGGTTAATTGTGTAAAGATCCATTTGGATAATTTCAGTGAAGAATAGGATTTCGACTAGTTGAATAAACTGGGCTTGTATCGGTCTTGGCCCATAATACTGGGCTTGGTCCACATCCAAGTTTTGACCCATGAATCGGCTAGCCTATAGGCCGGTCCGTGCATGAACGGGCCAAACGTAGATTTTTTTGGATCCTTGCGCAAAAATCGGCCGAATTCAATTGGTATACATAGATTAAATATATTATATGTAGATTATATATATTAAGCATCACTCAATTATTTTTAATTTAAATAGTTGACTGAACGATTATATGGATTATTTCTTTAAAAAGTTCCTTTGATTAATCATGGCTCCAATATGGAAAAGTTGAACTTAGATTTCTTCTCAATTCTCGCTACTCACTGGCCACTGCTATTTGCGCGTTGCTCTTCTCCTTTGATATGATTTTTCGAATTTATGTTCGCAATCTAAAGCTTCCTCGTTCTTGTTTGACCAAAAAGTGTAAACCTTTGATTGAACTAATTAATTTTATTTAACACGGGATTAAACCAAGTTAATAATAATATGCCTAAATTTATAACTAGTTAGCACAAATATTGCAAGATAAAGTTGGTAGGGGATTAAATGCAGTGTGCATTTAATTTTCCGAAAAATTACAGTAATGATAAAAGAGTATCAAGTAATAAATATCAATAAATGACATTGACGTAAATAAGGAGAATGATTCACCAAATATTGAATGAGGTGGATGATTCGTCTTTCTAACAGTAATGAGTGACGGACAAATCCTCCTAGAATAGTAGAACTATTCTCGGATCTGATGGAAGAGTATGTAATAATAGATGGAAGAATCTTATAAGAAAAGTAATATTTGTATCTTTTCTAGAGAGAGAGTCTTTTTCTCAAAAAGTGTTCTTATCAAATGAATATTACATGCATTTCCGTTATCTCTTTTTCTGTTTATATGGGACATACCCCTAGTCAACCTTAATAATACAAATGCAGAGAATAATCAAGGGAATATTCAAGAGAATATTCTCTTTAATATCATGTTACAAAAACTAGTCGTTAGTGTTCTATCCTTGATGCTCACCCTCGACCATCATTAACTGCTGGCTACGAGTCTTACAGTCTACTAGTCAACCTCGGCCGCGTCATCTTCTTTAATTCCCCATCATGCCAAATTCTCTTGGGGTAAATTTTGACCCATACAGTTAGTCCCTCCGCTTATTGAGGCCGACTCTGGACGACCTCGATGAGCGGACTCTATTAGTTATGGTTGAGAGACTTAGGCGAGCAAGTAGAGTAGTGGCAACATGACCCTTTGTGAGCTGTAACCTATGGTCACATCGATTCATAGTGACGTCATGACATCATGCGTCATTATTACGCGTTTCCCGATGCTTGCATCATTTTTTGTGCCTCTGCCGTTTCGATACATGCGCTGGGCATTAACGATTTTCTTTCTCGATATTGATGCCTGAGTTCTTATAAATAGGGCTATGAAATCCTTTGCCTTATTCTTTGTATTCTCAAATATTGAATCCCTGTATTTCTTTCTTCCTTCTTCATTCAAAGTTCCTGCTCCCATTACCTTTACTCAAACATCCTTATTTTTACCGATTCTGGTGATTTCTGCTACTGACGACTCCTCTGTGATTATATCTTCTTCATATATAAACAAACAAAAATGGTTCATGCATCTTCTAATTCTGGGAGGGCAATTGAACTTGTTTCTTTGGTAGTGCGCATGCCTCCCCATGATAATAGCATTTTAGTTGCCATTGAAGATGAGAACCTTCCTACAGTAGAGGAGATAATCTCTCGTGGTGACAAAGACATATCTGATTTTTCAAAGGTGCTTGAAGACGACCCAGAGGTTTCAGAGTCATTGATGAAAGAGGTGGGCCTTGCCTAATTTAGGGATAGATTCAAAATTCCTGCTCGTATAGACCTAGTTCCAGCAAGGC